CTGCAATTGAGGCATATGTAATGTCATCACCATCAAACGAGATCATAACAAACCATTGTTAGCAGACGAGGTCACATCAAAGAGGATAGGTTTTAAAGAGGATAGGTTTCTCTAGAATGCATTCTCATCATTTGGAATTGTGTGATTAATTGGTTTTACATGGGATTTTCTTGTATAACATTGGGGTTGAACAACTAGTAATTGGGCGTGAGCTGTTAAATATAGGCCCAATCTGTAGCCATTGGGCTTGAAAAACCTAAACTAGTATTTCTTATGACAAAAGCCAGGGTAGACGGCAGAGGAGCCCAACAATCAATCCGACATAATTAAGGTAGGTCATTACTCATTATGTTGTTTACAACCAATGAAATGCCTCTGTGAATCAATGGGATATGAGGAGACTGAAATGCCTTTGTGAGCCTTCATAGTCTCGAAAAGGTAGTGTGGAGCCAAAAATATTCACTAGGCGACACGTGGACTTTTGGACAAAAGAGGACAAAAATACCCTCGAGGCATACCGGGTTTCCTATACGCGAGCAGTGGAGAATCATCCATCAACCAAGTCAGGAGTACCCAAATTGGGTAACAATTCAAAACCTATTTCATTCCATATATGTTTTTACCTCATTTTTTCCTTATTCAATTAGCCATTTATTTCAAACATTCCATAACATCCTCAACCAATTAATATAATCAATATATTAAAGGCTAATTACATCACCAAATTAAGCCCAAAAATCACCCTAAAGGCCGGTTATCCCTTCTCCAAAGGGAGCCGGCCATTTCCTTCTTTTTTCACCATAATTTTCCTTTTTTGTGACATTGATTAGCCAATTATACAAAAAACTACCAAAACATTCATTTTATGTTTAATAGCCAAATAAATTGGCTAATTAAACCTAAATCAAACCCAAAAAACCCTAGCCACCTCCTATCCCTATAAATATACTCTCATTTCTCACCAAAAAGCCAATTCCAACACTTTGGCAAAAATCCCAAAATTCTCTAAACACTCTTTCTCTCTAAATTCTAACTTTGGCATTGGAGGTTCTTCGGCCAAAGCCCCCCCCATTCATCGTGGGCGCGTGAGGCTCTTGGCCTTAACCTAAGGTGTTAATTGTTTTGTAGGTGCAAAATTGTCCAAGATCAAGGAGGAAGAAATTGCATCCACAGGTAGACTGTTGTGGCAAAACCAACACCTGATCCCTTTTTAAAAAGAAAAAATTACTCATTATTTTGTTTACAACCTATGAAACATGTTGGTCATACATGTATAAATTACGAGACAGAACTTTCCTGCAATTTTATTCTAGGCTAAATGAGTAAGCTCAATATGCATTGTCATGTACGTAATGCATGATTTGTTTGAGAAACCGCCATAATAAAATTCTGAATGTAGGTATATTGATGAGAACCTTGCTCAACCGGCATCTACAACCTTTGTGACATAAATTTAAGTTATATTAAAAAATAAATAACGTGATCACCGAAAAGCTTATAATTTAATGACTAGATATTCACTAATCCAAGTGTTTAAACTAATCTGATTTAATTCTTCTCCTTTCAGGTCAACTTTGCCGCCATCGCCAAGTGATTACGCCACTTAATTATCTTAGTGGCCATTATAATGACTTGTGTATGACAGGAACATATCCAGTAAACCCTTATGAGAAAGAGGGATGATATATGTCGTATTCGTTCTGTATGTTTAAAAAAGATTATCACAAATGTGGAAGTTGCCTTTTGGACTAATCTGACTCGAAAGGGTGGCTTAATTTGTTCTTTGTATATCTCAGATACTAAGTTGACTAATATGTTGGCATGAAATACGTATGGTATTTTTCATATGTGAAACTGAATATACCTTTTGATTACTATTTTATTTTTAGATTTTAGTTTTCAATCCCTTGTGGGCGGGAGGAAACTAACTTAAAATAGTTCAAAGGTTTTAATTTCATTTTGTATATCATTTTCTGTACGTTTCTTTTACATCCCTTCCAAGGTATTTCTCCTCTATTTATAACAAAAAAATTGAAAATTAAAATTTGAAGCAGAATGATTATCAAATAAACCTTAATATATATGGGGATGGAACCGTGTCATCATTTTTTTTACACACATTTTTTGGGGTCACTTCATAATATATTTCAACAATCCGAACTGTATATCTTAGATATTCTCTCAAAGATCATGTCTACCAAAAAATCACCAAAATCTAAAATCACACGACCGTTAGATTAAGAGTTTAGGTTTTTTTTGTATAACCGTATCCGTCTATTTTCTTCACTACAAATGAATATCTAATGGTTTTGGATTTGTCTAAATTGTTTTGCAAGAATGATCTATGAATAATGTTCTAAAAGATAGACGGTTCAATTGTTAAAATACATTACGGAGTGATCCCTATAAAAACGTGTGTCAAAAGTTATGTAAAAAAAAGTGGTACTACGGATTCACTCCATGTGTGTGTGTGTGTGTGTGTGTGTGTGTGTGTGTGTGTGTGTGTGTATTGCCATCCAATGGACCTAATATATATTACGGCTTATAAGTGTTAACTGACCTGATAAACCATTCTATAAGTTGCTAATTATTCATCACTCAAATGTTAGAGATGGAAGGTAGCCTACGCACTACGTGCCCCTTCAAAGTATATATGCATGATTTCAATCTGCCAAATTTGCCTCGTGCTGCCCAGGGTTTCCAAAAGGAAAACTGTGGGTACGCAGAAATGGGCCATGATTAGTTTCAGACTTGAGGAATTGGATGGTAGAAATATAGGGAGATAACTTTTGTGGTGGCCAAACCAGAACAACGATTAATGCATGCTTCATGCCTAACTATATATATAGTGATCTACTACAGGTTGAGAGATAATGGTTTCAAATCAGAAACCAAAAAGTCTATAAAATCATGGAAAGACCAAGTCGCAATCTGGTGTGAGCCCTAAATTCCTAAATGAATGAGATTACGCAAACACATTTCCAAGTTGCAACACTCAGTCCAACCTAAGACCGGCTTTGGCACTAATGTAATGTAATATTATGTGCCCCAAAACCACAATCAAGAGACGGACTTACCTACACCCTCAGAAACGTTATTCTAATATTATAAATCAAATAATACGATGTTACATATTTTGTTTTATTTTTCGCATAACTTCACATAATTGATGTGAAACACCGCCACTTTAAAACTATATGTTTCATGTCCGTTCTTTTCTGACATCAGTTACAACTTACAAGGTAAGACTTGGCAGGATATATGTATGTATGTATCTTCGAATGATATCTTTAAGGAAAATCTTTGAGAAATATCTTTTTAATTATATCATATTTTGTAAACTATATTATGTGGCGGTTGAAGTTAAATTTTTTTTTAATCATTAAAGAAGGAATCAAACTCAACCGCCACATCATTTAGTCTATAAACTATAGTTTATATAGATGATCTCTCTAACGAGAAAACTTTTAATATACTGAGAACACAACATCGTACACCAAGTGTCATAATACAATTGATTAGAAACTTCACTAATTGTATTATTACGCTTAATGTATTCGAACAATGTTCTTGACACACTCTCTAACATCACTCGAGTTTTAATTGCAAACTTCACTAAAACTACTTGCAATGCGAGTTGACACAACCACCACTTGGCTCACTTTTCTTTCTCAGCTTAAGCTCTTTGCATCGCAATAACTAAAAACGTCTGTCGATATACTCGGACCAAAACATAAAAGTCCTCAATCTACGCTGACCAATCACGACCCTTAAAGTGGAACCCCATCTGCAAGTTACAGTTAGTAATTACAGATCCAATCCTGACCGTCACTTTTTATTATATTACATAAGCAAAATGCACAATTTTGATAATTTGATTTTAATTACCATGACTCAGCACGATTACAAAGCATATTCACTGTGGCTCTCAGGTGCCTAAAACATATTTCACACGCGTATATATCAATTTTATATACTAAACACATGCTTTATAAATAAACAAAAACTTTAAGCACTAAAGTAAGACACAAATGTGTAATGAGATAAAAGGAAAGAAAAACAAGTAGGTTATGAGAATAAAAAAGAAAAAGAAAAGAAGATTACATTAGGGTTATAAATTGGCTTACAATTGTGGTCTCTCTAGCATTGTTCTATCAAAAAAGTAATTCATTAAATAAGAATGCCTGACAAATATTATTAAAGAAATTTCATAATTTTCTTTGGCTATTTAGGAATCGTAATTCTTACTGTACATATACAGAAGAAAAGTCATTAATTTTCTTTCACTATTTAGAAAACAAATTGGAATATGATTATCTCCCTTCCACATTCCTTGTTCTCGTGACCATTCAAATAAGAGATGAGGCAAGGGAAAAGAATTTTTTTATTATTTTTTGTTTAACAAATGATATTATCTACACTAAACGGAACGGAGAAGTAGGTTAAGCCTCCCAACGTATAGCAATAATGTGGTTTAAATTCACCTTTTCGTGAGAATCAAACCTAAGACCTCTCACTTACAAGTTACAAGTGAAGAGTAATATCATTAGACCGTAGTACTAAGTGATGAGGGAAAAGAAATTTGAAGGGAAAAAAATCCTACTCCAATCAAATTTCAAACCCATCAAAGATTGAAATTCTATTTCCTTCATTTCCAATCCAAATTAAGGAAGGAACAAAAGGAAAAAGGGAAAATAACAAAGGGATTCATGCAACAAATATGAAAAGAATCATAACTCCAAATACAATGCACTATTTTATGAGAATGTGGAAATTTTTGTGCTTATCCAAGAAGTACATCAAAATATCAATGTGTCACACAACACCCTATCATGGCTCTCATTGTTCTACACACCAACTTCTAACCCTAGTCCAAGTCAACCCGAAAGCCACCGGTTCACCCCCAACTCTTCCACCCAAAAAAATTAAAAAATAACATCCACCGGCAATAACCGGTCACCAAAACTCATTCTTCACCCTATTTATACCCACCACCACACGTAACACCTCTCTCATTGCACCCACCACCAAAACTCCCCGCACCCCCAAACACCTCCTCCCCGCCAACTTTTCCTTCCGGCAGTATTTCGGATACGCTAAAAATCTCTAACATGGCTCGTCATCTGCATACAAGCGAGTATTCTGACTCGGACTCCTCGATGCGCCTGAAGTCCAAAGCCCGTATGGTGGCCTCCGTCTCGGCACTCCTCGCCATCGCCCGCCGCCTCTCGGGGAAACTGAAGGCCGCCAACTCCAACATGATAAAAAACAACCACCAGTCGAAAGTCGCGCCGAATAAGTCACCGATGATGAGGAAGCCGAAGAAGCTAATGTCGACCATAAGCAACAAGGCCATCACGTTCCTGCACCGGAAAAAGATCGGCGAGGAATCGGACAGTAGGGGCCGCCTCCACGCTGAGGAGGAGGAGGAGTGGGGGGACGGTGGGGTATGGCAGAGGTCGATCCTGATGGGGGATAAGTGCGAGCCGTTGAATTTCTCGGGAGTAATTTATTACGATATTGACGGGAAGAAACTTAACGGAGCTCCCATAAGGTCCCCACGTGCAAGTCCTTTGCCGGGGTACCTCGAGAGGGGTAAGATAAACTGACGGCGCCGTTAACTTTCAAGTGTTTTTCGTCGGAGAAGACGACATGTTTTCCAGCGTTAATTTGTCTGTGTTTTTTTTGCTTCGTTTTCGTGGTATTGCAACTGTTGTGTCGTGACGTGTCACGCATGTGAGTTCTTATTGGTATGGTGGGCGCATGTATGGGTTTTAGGGGCCACAGTTGACGTCGTCGTCGGAAGTAGGTAGTTGAACTTCTCCAGTGTAATAGGGCGGGGACGTGCGTACATATGGAACACATTTGGATTTTGCAACCCCTTTAATTTGTGGATGATTTTTAAATTTAGTAATGGACTCGTGGGTTTTAGATTTTATTTATGTTGAACATTTATATCATTCACATCCTTGAGTAGTTGGCTGGCTCAATCATTCAATGTTACAAATATATCATTACGATATTGATTGCTGATATATTGATATACATCAATGACATAGTTTTCAAAACTATCGATATGTTTCTCATTAAAAGTTTTTATGACAAATAATAATGATGCGACATCATTAATTTGATTGAAACTAAGACTAATTAGTTGGTCAGGTAGTGTAACTTAAGTTTTTTCCCTGAACATATGATCGAGATTGCCATCTTTTCAAATTATTATTTGGGTGTATTTTATTTTCATTCGTTTATTATCTATTTGAAACTAATTTGTAAGTAGAGAAATTCGAATTCGGATGCACAACGCAGTCAACTAAATACCACTAGCCAACCTGCCTGCTTTATTGGCTTTATTACCAAATGAATGTGTGGTCTAAACTCTAAGCCGACAAATTACTAACACTAACAAATTATTGTCAAAAACTGCACTTGGAATAAATTGTGATCCACTATGAGGCACTAACATTCGAGCTAGGCCTCGATTTGATCCACTAGTAGTGCACGGGTGGCATCTCAATCTATCTTATCAGAATATATTATCTTCTTAGAGATGATGGGAAGTAGGAAATACTAATGTCACATATTCTTTCTTTTTCTTTTTTCAATTAAATGTGCATACTAATTCTACACTATTTTGTTGAACAAATAATCATTCATTAGAAGAGTTCAAAAGGTCATCTCTAATGTGATGTCTAGGGGAACATATTTGGAATATTTTTGCTCATCGCCTTTAAGTGGTGGTAATGTTCATCACTCTATTTATTAACATTAGATGAGTCTAAATTTCGAGATATGTATAATAACTATACACAAATTTCAAAATTTAAACTCATCTAATAATAATAAATCTGGTAATGAGCATTGCAACCATTCAAGAATCCTTTACCAAAACCTATACACAAACAACATATGCAAATCCCACCTTTTGAAAGAACAAATAAATCCATAGATACCAAAAGTTACCTACAAATTGAGAGCCTATATGCCCTTAACCTTTTTGTGCATACTCCTCTCTCCTTTTTCGCGTGCAACGTTACGTGACAAATCCTCTCCTATTTCTCTTCACAATTCGCATGTGGCACCCATACATATTCATATTTTTTTTCCCTGCGTGATATCTCTTTTCACGTTAAATGTCAGACGAAGAGAGAGACGTGCACAAATGACCTATTACCTAAGTCTTAGCCTAACAAAGTACTCGGAAACACATACACGCACAAAAGACTGGCTCCACCAGTTGCCCAAAGGTTGTATATAAATCACAGAGTCACATGCACGATTCTTACAGTCTTATAATTTGAAGTGAACATCGATAATTTGATGAAAACTTTCAAACTTGATGAATATTCTTCAATTATTTATGTAAAATATGCCTTTGGTCTACCGTCATCTGCAAGGAAAACAATGTTTTCGTTGAATGTTGAATTACACGCACATTATTTGTAGTAGAGAATAAAAAAATCAAGTTCTAAGATTGTTCAAATAGAATGCTTCGTACCACCCGCGACATGCTGCTAATTGGTTTTCTCTTTGACTTTCATTTTTGGTATTTGGTGAGAAAAGATAGGAAGCAAGGAAGTATCCATCGATGAATAACCAAGTCCTTGGGTTTGACTCTCGTACGTAGGTCAGGTCAACTCAGAGTAAGTTTCGGGTCCAAGAAGAAAATAATAACTTAGAACAAATCTATAGCTTAATTGAAGAAAAAATAAATTTTCAATAATAATTATGAAATTTTTCTTTGATAACTTTTCCAAGTATGACTTCAATGCCAGTGCTAAGTTTCAAAAATAATTAAAAAAATTTTGATAAAAATATTTTTAAATCAATTTTTAATAAAAACGCTTAAAAAAGCACTTGAAATAAGCACTTGAAATGCTTCTCGAGAAAAACACATAACTGGGTAGTTCTTCTACTTCAAGTGTTTTGCACCAGAAACAGTTTCTCTATTTTTAATCATTTTAAAAATATTTTCAAACATGCGCTTTGTTGTTTTATTTTACAATCAGATAATGTTTAGGGCATGTCTAGTAACTACCAACCATCGATGGATTGTAGTCGTATTAGCAAAACTATATTATTACTCCATTTTTCCAGTTCAAGTAGAATAATTCATGAATTCCATTTAACCAAAGGAAAAAAAGGTTAAGAAAGGTCAAATATTTTTTGGGTCCATGCACACAAGTGGATTTCCTTCCACTACCAAAACCATAACAACGTAAAGAGCAAAAGCCCAAACCATCTACTAAATAAAGCCCTTAAATCTGACCCCAAAAAGAAAAAAAAAAATTTAACTAAAAAAAAAAAGAAACAAACCAAATATCAGAGACATGAAACGTAATAAAAGATCGACCAAAAAAAAAAAAAAAAAAGAAGAAGAAACGTAATAAAAGTCCATCATATCTGCAGGTTCAACATTCAACAATAAACCGGACCGGTGAAGAAAGAAAACAAATCCTATAGCTCTCGATCGTAGGTTTAAGCACCGGGAGCTGCATCCTTGACCTTACTGTGTAAATATCCGCCATACTCTCTAGCATAATCCTTGACGTGGCTCGCCGTATCGTAAATCCGGCTCCTTGCGTAGTCGACCCGGTCCGAACCGGGCGGGTGCATCCCCTTGAAGTACCTGTACATCCAAGACAAACCGGCCACGGCTGCGGCGCCGAACCCGCACATGGACACGAAGAAGCCGGCAGTGAGGACGAGGATGATGCCAAGGGGGACCCATATGGGACTGGAGACGATGATGAGAGGGGTGAAGAACATTACTCCGAGGACGGTTGCGGTGACGGTGAGGCCGGTGAGGAGGAGGAGAATGGCGCCGGAGACGAGGAGGGTGAGGAAGCCGACGAGCTGGGTAGAGTTGGGTGCACTACCTTGGAGTTTACGTAGGAATGTGGAGGCATTTGTCGGGGTGTTATGGTTGCTGTGTCTCGGAGCTCTCTGCTGCTGCTGGGTTTGTGCTGGGTTTTGGTGACGGTCGGCCATGGATGCGTTGAAAGAGAGAGAGAGAGAGAGGAGGGGGAGGGGGGAGTGAGAGAGAGGTGCGGGAGATGTTAAGAGGGGGTGGAGAGGGACAGGTGTGGGGAAGATTTGAGCATGGAGACATGCATGGGAACACGTGGAGGGTGGAACAAGTTTTTGTGAGCAGTAGATGAGTGTGGTGTGGGAGAGTACTTGACCTTTTCTTTGGTTATAAAGCTCATAGAAATCCGTGGAGGATTCTATGTGGTTTAGGTAAACTGTAATTTTAATCATACTAATTTTACTCTCTCTCTCTCTCTCCATATATATAATCATATAGAATTGTGACAGTTGGATGGCTGATGAAATCTAGTTGATCCAAATCTTTTTGGTGAATATTAGAAGGCCAGATGGCATCAGGTGAACTGAATTATTACTGTAAATCTCTACTCAATTACGGAAAATTTTTAGTTGTGACGGAAATACGGGTGATACATCACATGTTTTTATGTAAGTGGTGGAAAATTTTAATTTTTAAGCTATTAATCTTTTAACACACATATCCAACCATTTACATAGAGACACGTGGTGTACCGCCTTATGTGACGGTCACACTGAAAACTCTCTTACTCAATTACATGCCAACAATAAAGCTTAATTGTCAAAACGTCCTTTATTAGGACTTGCATGTTTATATGAAGATGATAATGTTAGGGAGATTAACTTTTTAGATTAAATTTTGTAAATTATATGACGTAATTGTTGATGATTTGATTATTATATAAGGTCGATTAATGTGTTTATTCATGTTAATGACACATTATACGATTTACAAATTTGATTTAGAAAGTTGTTCGAGATGCTTAACCCTCTTATTATCTATTTAGTAGTAGTTCTCACCTTCTTATCATGGAATTTCACAATTTTCAATTTTTCATATTAAATTTTTTATTATTATTTTACATACCCAATTATTAGTTTTTTTTTTATGGGTGGTGATATTCACGTACCTTTTTTTACTTTCCACACACCTTTATTAAATTTCGGTCGTGATTGTGAACACGAAAATTTCCTGAAACGAAAGAGACAAGAACAACGTGCACAAACAAATATTTGTATTTGATGATTTTGGGTTACAATCTCTCTCTATTTTGATCCTCTGATTCGATTTCCGTAAGGTGTTGATTTGTGGATGTTTCGTTGATCCAAGGGCCGTCGAGGCTTGATTTTGGATGAACTGTTGGAAGTTTCTTCAAGGGCCGTGGGCTTGATCTTTGAAGGTGGATTTGAGCGAATCTTCAAGGAGCCGTTGGGGCTTGATCTTGAGGATGAGTGTTTCTTCAAGGGCCGTTGAGGCTTGATCTTGAATAACGGTGATGAGCGGATCTTCAAGGGCTTTTAGGCTTGATCTTGAATAACAGTGATGAACGGATCTTTCAAGGGCTTTTGGGCTTGATCTTGAAGAATAGTGATGAACGGATCTTCAAGGGTTTTTGGGCTTGATCTTGAAGAACGGTGGCTTGTTGATCCAAGGGCCGTCGGGGCTTGATCTTGGAAGAACGAAGAACACTTTCTTCAAGGGCCGTCGGGGCTTGATCTTGAATTGGTATCCTGATTGTTGATCCAAAGGGCCGTTGTGGCTTGATCTTGGAAGAACGAAGAACACTTTCTTCAAGGGCTGTCGGGGCTTGATCTTGAATTGGTGGATGATTGTTGATCCAAAGGGCCGTTGGGGCTTGATCTTAGGATGAACGATGAACGAAGAACGAAGAACGAAGAGAGCTTTCTTGATTCTTCGGGAACCTGGATGCTTGAGAGCTTCGGAGTTTTAGAGCTTCAGAGCTTCAAGAATTTTGCCTAATGATTTTGGTCCTTCTAAATGAATGAATTAGTCTTCTATTTATAGAAATTTCCAAGGCCTAATTTTGAATATAATATTCCAGATGAAATAAGTCGTTTCTGCCAGGTGTTGACACGTGTCCTGTTTGATGACTTTTCCAACTTATTTTGATTTTTTGTTTAGACACATGCTACGTGTAAAATTTATGTAATACATGAGCGTTGAAACTTTGATTTATCGGTCAACATTTATTTACCGAAATTTCGATGTCTACAAATGCCCCCACTTCAAGACGCATTTTATACATGTGCTTGTCGCATGTAGGAGATGCGTTTTGAAGTCCCTTAATGTAGATGTCGATCCAAGGGCCATCAAGGCTTGATCTTGAATTGGGCTGGAGATTTCTTCAAGGGCCGTCAAGGCTTGATCTTGAATTTGTTTGGAATTTCTTCAAGGGCCGTCGAGGCTTGATCTTGAAGGTTGAAATTGGACCACAAGGAGCTTCATGTGGTAGATGATCTTTGGCTTGGGTAGTGGATGAATCGGCACGTATTTGTTTTTTGCACTTTGTTGACTTTCCACAGCTTTGATCTTGAACTGGGTTGGAGGATTTTCTGGATTTCTCCAATTGTTGATTTTCCACAGCTTATTCTTGAACTAGGTTTTGATTCAAGAGTGGTAGACACTTGATCTTGAATCGGACTTGTGATTTCTTTAAGGGCCGTCGAGGCTTGATCTTGAATTTGGCCGGAAACTTCTTCAAGGGCCGTTGAGGCTTGATTCTTGAAGGTTGACTCGAACACATGGCAAGCAGGCACGAGGTGAAGGTGACGACTTGTTGCTTTGTTCAATCTTTCTAATTCACACCTGAGCAGTTTGGTCAACGGTATGATCTTCAAGATTGATGGGCTCTTCTTCCAGTTGGTGACTTGATCTTTAAGGATTTGATTCAAGGGTGGTGAAACGGCACATGCAGCCCACAAAGCCTAGCAAGTCGACCCAAGAATTTGAGGGTCAAAACTAGTCATCCACCTAGAGTGATTGCAAACATGATGATATGAGATACTTTTGATTTTGAAGAAGTAGCGGATGAATCGGCACGTGCTTTGTTGTGCTTGTCTCCACATGCTTCAATGTATCATTTTTCCTTGTCTTATCTATTCTTCTGGCAGAATGTAGCATCTTCTCGAGTTCTTCAGCTCAGACTCCTTCTGCTGAGCTGACTGTGCAGGCTGCATTCTTCTCTACTTGTTTCTTCAGGCAGATGTGGCAGCTTCTTGAGTTCCTCAGCTCGGACTCCTTCTGCTGAGCTGACTGTGTGCATTCTTCTCTGCTTGTTTCTTCTGCACGTTGTCTCCACATGCTGCAAGGTATCATTTTCACTTGCCTTATCTGTTCTCCAGGCAAATGTGGCATTCGAGTTTGAGCGGAGGTTCCGACATATTGTTTTCTTTATCCTTGTCTTTGTAGGTAATAACAAGGACAAAGGAAAGGACAGGGAGAACGCATGATATGAGATACTCTTGCTTTCTACCCTGGTGATATGAGATACTTTTGCTTTGGTGTCATTTGTTTGCAGAGGTACCCCAAGGAATAAGAAACATTGAGTGACTCGAGAGGCTTCGTTGGGAAGGCATTCTCGGAGATGAAGAAAGGTTCTCGGAGATGAAGAAAGGTTCTTGGAGATAAAGAAAGGTTATGTATGTTTGCCTTGCTATGGAGGGTGAAGGTGGACAGTTATAGGAAATTCTTTAGTACCTGTAGAGGTACTATTCTTTTACTCGTGTCGGCAACCAATGCGTGATTGATCAGTATGGCTTCACGTGCTTTCTTCTTTATTAGAAATCTTCGACAAATTGTCCGTAATTTTCGTCAAGCTGAGTGTGCATGTGACAGGTGTTGACGAGGCTGAAAAAGACTGACGCCTCTTCGATATCTGGGATCGGCGCTTCGACAAATTGCCCGTGATTTCCGCAAAGCTGAGTTTACGCGTGACGGGTGCTGACGAGGCTGAAAAAGACTGGCGCCTCTTCGATATCTGGGATTGGCGCTTTAACAAATTGCCCGTGATTTCCGCAAAGCTGAGTTTGCGTGTGACGGGTGCTAACGCGTCTGGAAAAGCAAGATGCTTCTCCGATTTCTGAGCTTGCCTCCTCGATTTTTTGAATTGGCCTCTTCGAATTCTGAGCTCGCTTCTTCAATCTCTGAAATCCCGTCGAGTGTTGATTTTTATAGAGGCACGCAATTCGTTTCAAAGCACACTTGAATTTTCGCTTGTAGAAACTCCCTTCTTGCACTTCTAAGATCTTGATTTGTCCGACCTCTTCTTTCTTCAACACCTTTGAAAATGTCTGGACCCTCCGACCGTTGTTTTGATTTGAACCTTGGTGAATAGGTAGTCCCGCCTTCTCCAGACAACATATGGCGCCCATCCTTCATATCCCCTACTGGTCCTCTTACTGTTTGGGATTCGGTGATGAAGAATGATATGACCGCTGCGGTGGTGGCCCGGAACCTTGTCACTCCCAAAGATAACAGACTACTTTCCAAACGGTCTGATGAGTTGGCTGTTAAAGATTCTCTGGCTCTCAGTGTGCAGTGTGCAGGTTCTGTGTCTAATATGGCCCAACGCCTATTTGCTCGAACCCGTCAAGTTGAATCATTGGCGGCTGAAGTGATGAGTCTCAAACAGGAGATTAGAGGGCTCAAGCATGAGAATAAACAGTTGCATAAGCTCGCACATAGCTATGCGACAAACATGAAGAGGAAGATTGACCAGATGCAGGAATCTGATGGTCAGATTTTACTTGATCATCAGAGGTTTGTGGGTTTGTTCCAGCAGCATTTGCCTTCGTCTTCTGGGGCTGTACCGCGTAATGAAGCCTCAAATGATCAACCTTCGGTGCCTCCTCCTCCTGGGGTTCTGCCTAGTACTGAGACTCTGAATAATCACCCTCTGGTGCCTCTTCGATCTGGGGCTCCGCCGAGTACTGAGGCGCCATCTGATCAACCTTGAAGATCCCCTCCTGTAAATTTGATTTGTCTTTTTTTTTTTTTTTTTTTTTTTTTTTTTTTTTTTTATGGCATGTGGAATGCGAATTTATGTAACTTTTTTTTAGAGAAATCAAAAGCATAAAGATATTATTATTTTTTCAATGGTGAAGACCCACAATCCACTATATATATATTCACATGATGCCCATGCTGACACCACCATTCCATTCTCATCTTTTTTATTTATTATATATATACTTTTTTTTTTCTTTTGACTGGCACTACCACTACCACTCCCTTCTCTTATTATTATTATTATTATTTTTTATTTATTTATTTATTTATTATTTATTATTTTATTA